AGGGCTAAAGAACGGCGCATATTCTAACGCAGTATAGGACCACTACATATAGGCGTCCCCATTGGTGTACCCTTTCCATTCAACCCCATGCGTTCTCCAGAGTCTGTTCTCTTTTGTTTTGGAGCCCTTGTTGCTTCATGCCACTTGGATTTGTTGGCCTGGCAATGACAAGTGCCGTATCTCACCCATATAAGTTCTTTCCATGTGGTTTCATTGCCAACCATCACAGCCCTGCACGCAGGCAACCTCTTGGATGCCTTCACTGCTGTGGAGGCTTGGCAGGGCAGTGAAACACCTGCCCGCCATTGCGCAGGGCATGCGTGCTCGCGCCACGCTACTCTGTTGTTCATGCAAGTTTGCATATTTTGACGACGCGTTGGAAGAGTATAAAGTTATATAGAGTTGCACCGTCATGGCACAGATGGCTGAGGATGCAATGTCACGCCAGCATCACTCTTTATGTACATCCTACTTGAAACAGTATAGTGGTTCGTTGACGACAAGTGTCATGGCACATACACAGCGGTGGCTTGAACAATTGATATCCCAGTGACAGTCATTTGTGTTGATTATGTACTTCTTTAGCGCTAGAAGAGTTGAGTTCCTTGGTTGCTGAGGTGTGTGGGGAATATTGGAGCATGTGTGCAGAAGCCCGTGCGCTGGAGGCGTGGCAGGGCGGCTGCTCGCCACCTATGCAAGCTTCTCTTCAGGTTTGAGGATCAAGCTGAGACTTGCAGTTGTTGCAAGGTGAATAGCAGTCATTGGTTGTGGTGTGATATAGCTTTGGCCCATAGCTTACAAGCGCACGTCCTGTTTGTCCACCATGAAGCGAACGATTGTGGTAGAGAAGGACTTCACAGGCAAGAGGCACTTTGAGGCAAAGCACGTGCGCGCCATGAGCTTCCCTGTTGCGAAACTATTTCGTTTCTACCGGGAGCTCGACGCATCAGCGCCCTGCTAGAGTTGGAGTTTAACATTTATCATTGTTTGCTATATTGTGCCAGCATCACTTTGTATGTTACTTATATATCTCATAGTATCTCTGCATTCGTTTTTAAGTGCTTGAAACAAGTAATACTTGTAAAAGGTGTGGCCATCAGCCCAACGGTTGGCGAGAGAGGTTGAGGTCGTGCTGACAGAGATGGGGTATCCTCCTGTAGAAACGCCTCCTGAAGACGCGCCGCCACCGTTTCGAAGGATGAAAGCAAGGCGCTTCGACTGATTCCAGTTCCGAAGGATGAATGCACAATTCTTCGATTAATTACGTGGTTTGAACACAGCCTGAATAGCAGGCGGCTGTGTTTGCAAATTAGATCTTCAAGCTGAAAACCTGAAGAGAAGCCGACGCAAACAGTGCTCCTTGCCTTTGTGTTGAGCATAGGTTGACCTCTTGAACTTTCAAAGCCAGTGCTACTGTAATCTCATGCAATCTCTATTATATAGTCTTGAAGGTGTGCTTGTCAAGTTTCTGCCCACACTGCAATGATGAAGTAACAATATAGCTCGGCTGACAGAGTTGTATCGATTCTGTGTGTTCTGCATTGTGACGTCTTATGTAATGACAGCTTCAATGAACTTGCTGGTGGCAGAGCTTGGCTCGCCGAATGCAGGGCATTATAGCTCGCATTCACCAGCAGCTCATCGTCGGTCCAAGTCGCACGCGCCCAAGTCGGCTGATCTTGAACGCGTTCATCCATCTTCATCGAGCAGATCATGAACGTCAATCCTCGCAATGCATGGGAGGTGGCCCCGGTCAATGAAACAGAGATTGAGCCCATGGCTTCCGCATGGCGTCCGCTTTGGCCGGGACACAACGACGCTTTGGAGCTGCGTCAGTCGATATGGATGAGCGCCGGCAACCCGCACAAGTTCAACTTCGTGGATGAGGTCGAAGGAGGGACATTGCGCTATAGACACTGCCTGAACAAGTTGCAGGACCGTCTCATCAGGCGGGTGCGCCCCGGCGTCATCACCGTAGACCATGAACTGGTGTGGCGTGATGATGGGAGCGTCGTAGCGGTCAAATGGCGGTATGCATTTTCAGGTGCCCACATTTGCACGAAGTTTGACACGTTCCGGCTTGTGTGTTTTTTCTATCTTGTTGCGGCGTGTATATAGGCTATGTAAAGTGTTCCCCCCCAACGTTGGAACTGACGCAGTGCTTGAGGAAAGTGTACGCTTCGCAACCGCCTACGTGGACTTGGTGGAGAAGATCTTACCCTATGCGAAGGGCACCGGCATCTCACGCCAGTGCACGATCCGTGATGTGTCTCAGGCTCCAGGCCACGCAAAGCTCTTCAAGGAGACTCCAAAGAAGCGCAAGAGGCATGATCCGGACACCCTTAGTGAAGAGGATGGCAAGACGTTGCATGAAGTGCCATCACTCACCCCTTAGACTGCTAGCGATGCAGCAAGGTGTTTAGAGCTGGTGCGCTGTAGAGCTTGATTTTGAAGTGGCTGCGAGGCCTTTGAATTTTCCAGTACAAAGGCTATCGTGAAAGACTGGCGCAGGTGTTCGAGAGGGTGAAAAACCGAATATCTCGGCAGCATGTTTGGAATACTTTTGGCCTTTCATAGTTTCACTCCCTTTCCAAGCCTGTGGCATAAGTTGTTGAGGTGCAACATGCCAGGTTTTGTTCTTGCCATGATTGCTCGTGATTTCATGTCTATGGCAAAGGTTTGACGCTCTCACGTGTTGGTTTCACGGTTCACTCGTAGTTTTCCATGATTCAAGCACTGACCAAGTGACCTGCAGGGCTTACGAAAGCCCGCAGGTGGCAGGGTTTTTACCCGCCATGGCTGACGCGTTAAGAAAGGACATCGATTCCATGCACACATTCTTGCGATCGCAGATGGCCGTGCTCGATGAAGCGCTGATGAAGAACGTGCAGAGCGCCCAGTTCAGCGGGTTGAAGACCAGGATCGAGGCGCTAGCCACGCTGGAAACAGATGAGGCGACTGCACTCACAGACGCTATCAAGCATGGGCCCTGGACGGCAGATGAGGCGAAGGGTGCAGCACACCTGCATATAACCCATATATAGATCCAAAAAGAACCCATCAACCTTTCTGCACGCATGCACTTTTCATATGAGAACAACACCCCATCAGGCCAAAGCACTGTGCTCGGCAATTTCGTCCTCGCTGGTGCGTGTGAGCAGTGGACCCAATACTCGTCGGGCCACTCAGCACCTGGCGTCCTTTGCTGGCTATATGTCCAAGACAGACGTGGAGACCTTTGAGGATGCAGAGAAGGACATCTCTGTGAAGCTGGACACGCTTGTTAGCCGGTGTATCAAGATTGGATTGCTCTTGCCATCTGTTCCTTGCATTCACAATTGCATTGCCTTTACACACGCACATATATCTCTTTGTATGATTTGTTCTGGTTGTGTTGCTGACCTTGATGAATTATGTCAATTGTTAATGTATTGTGTTGAGAAATGAGGAACCAACCATCAAAGCTGCAATCAGTGCGGCGGCAACAGTTGGCATGCAGGTAGATTTGAAGTGCGCGAAGAGCATGCTTGCGGTGGTCCACGAGTTCAAGAAGATCCTCCGCAAGAGGTCGCAGGGCATGACAGGGCCAAGGCCATGGGTCGTTCAGTTTCCATTGGACCCCAAGGAGCTGAACGTGTATGAGACGGCGTTTGAGGGTGACCCGCCTGTCCGGCTTGACGAAACGAAGTTGTTGCAAGTTCATCAACAAATGGTTTGTCGGAAGAGCCACGGCTTGTACAAAGCCGAGTTGCAGAAAGATGGTGAACCGCTTGACCAACAATTGGTCCCGGCAAAAGCAGCCGCCAAGCAGGCTCAGCAGTCCATGCCACCAATGATGCAGCAGATGCTGCAGTTTGCCAGCATGATGCAGCAAATGGGTTTCTTCCAAGGGGGTGGCTCTGGAGGGACTTCATCGTCATCAACAGGAGGGCTTGAGGGCTTCAAGATGGTTGGCAGGTCAGCTCAAGTGGAATCGCCGCCTGAAACAAAGACTCCAGCCTTGTCACCACCATCCAATACGTCACCACCATCCGGCTCTCAAAAGGCCGCTGCAAAAGAGTTATGTGAGGAGAAGACCTCCCCACTGCTTCCAAAGCAGCTGGCGCTTGAGAATGCTAGTGCTTCCACTCCAAATGGTCCCCCATTGGTGCCACCTCCGACTCATGAAATGACCCCAGAAGAACAGGCGGCGTTGCTAGAGGGAGCTCAAGAGGAGCGTGCGCTGAAGCGTCCGGCTACGAAGAAGGCAAAAGCTGAGCCAAAAAAAAAGCCAAAGACTGAGCCAAAACCAAAGGAAAAGAGCGCTGCAAAGAATCCAGTTTCAGTGGAGAAGTGCGAAGGACAGCCGTGGGAAATACACACGGTGACCCGCCCTACTGGCCAGAAAGACAAACACTACGTTCACCTGAAATCAGGTGAGCGTTTTCGCATGAAGTGGGAGGCCATTGCACGTGGCTTCAAGGAGTGAAGTGGAAAATGCTTGCATTGCGTGAGACTCGTGAGTTTGTGCCAAATATAGGGGCATCTGTGTTTGTGTCGTGAGGTTTGGCCATATACGCGTAGCATGAGTGCTTGTGCTTGCACGCCATGTGCAGGGCATTGCTCGCACTGCATGGCAGTGTAATCCAACTAGTTCGTTCAAGTTGCATCCATGCATGATGGAGTTTGGCCAGGTGATGCGTGGAGCCTTTACAGGCGTGGCGTCCGGCATGCGGTTACAAGTGCTCGAACTCAGAACAGTTTTTGATTATATGTAGACCGATTGATGCACAGTCAGACTGCTTATACTATACAGGTCCGAAGTAGTTGGATGTTTGTTGTGATTGACATGCTCTTGATCCAGCCTTACGAAACTATATGTTTGCAGTGGATGCTTTGTGGCTTGCATGTTAACACGTGTGTCGACGTTTAATGCTTTCCAGTTACTCCCATTGGTTCTGTTCTGCAACCCAGTTTTGTTTTTTGTTGCATTGGTTCCTATACATCCACGTTTTAGCATCATGGATCTGAGCCGCCTGGGAACCAGGAAGTCGTTCATCTCTCAGTCGGGTGTGGCTGAGCTTTTGGATGAATTGAAAAAGGCAGAGTGCCTGCCAACAACTACATCACGAAATTCCATCAAGCGTGCTCGACTGGATGTGATTGATGTTTCCACCCCATACGGCAAAATGGTACGAGAATGGCAGGTTGATGGGACAGAAGGGAAGAAGGTGACAATTCATTATGTTCACCCAGCAGCTCATTTGTGGTACATGGTTCACAATTGTGAGCCATTCAGTGCCTTCATGGAAGAGCTCCTGAGGGACACACCAAGCTCACCTCAGCAAAAATACCAGATCGTACTGTATGCCGACGAAGTTTCACCTGGAAACCAACTTAAGACCGACAACCGCCGGAAGTGCTATGTGTACTATTGGGCACTGCTCGCCACTTGTTGCAGTTGAGAACCGTTTCAGGATTGTCTCAGTTATAGGAGCCATTCCACAGTTTCTTACATATATATAGAGAGAGAGAGAGAAAGGACAGGCTGAAAGAAAAGGGGTGATTTAGAGGGGACGGAGGACAGGAGCATGTGAATACAACATGGTTGTTTACATGCATGCCTCACGTTTGAGTTTATGTTGCCAGTGCTTTGCGGTAAGCTGAAGACCTCAACCTCAACCTCATTTAATGGGGCGCACTCTCAGGAATATGGAGCCAAGCTGTCATCAGAAACCCACTGGTTTTGCCTCTGCATCATTCGCAGCAACATTGTGAAGAAGCAGGTCCAGGAAGGGGTGGCGGCTTTGACGAGGGAGGCCTTCAGGTCGTTTTTTGAGGCTGGTGCTGATTTTAGGCACGGTCTTCAGCTCTCGTTTGCGTCTGGGAACGCTGGCTTTCTCTGCGCGGAGGCAGGTCTTTGCGTCAGTGATGAAGGAGCACTGAAAGAGATGTTTTCAGTCAAGGGGGCTGCTGGGACCCTGCTGTGCTTGCTGTGTCGGACGACGGTGTCCCTCGGGTCTGACCTGCATCACAATGCTGAGCAGCTAGTAGCGCACACGGAGACTGATTACAGTAAATGGCGCCTGCACTCAGATGCCTCGTTGCTTGCGAACATGCGACATTTGGTTGGGCAGGAGTCGGTGCAGAATAAGGGGCAGTTCAAGGCTCTCCAGCAGAGGTTGGGTCTTAATGTGTCGCATCTGGGTATGCTGAACACAGACACGAACGCCGCCTTTGGTTTTCCCATTACAAAGGGCATTATGTACGACTGGATGCATTGTTATGTTGTCTCCGGCCTGTATCACATTGAGGAGTCTCGCATGCTTCAAATAGAAAACAATTTCTTGTTTTGATGCACGTCACGGCACATCATGTATATATATTTGTATATATTTGTGAAGTTTACACCACGTCACAATTTGTTTAAGTAAGCGTTGTCCGCACGTGGCAGGGATGTGTCTCGCCATGCTGCAGGGCATGCGCCGCATGTATATATATATATGTATATCAATGTTTGTTTGATGTTGATCGTTCACCGATTGACTTCGACTCGATTTGTAGCACTGAGGTAACAGAACTATTGAAAGTGTTGGCTGCAGCCAAAGTGCCTCAGCAAGAGATTCACAACTACTTTCAGCACTTCACGTGGC